GATGATCTCGAAGAACGCCACCGAGAGGGTTTGAGGCAAGACCCCTGTGGTGAGCTCGAGGGGGATCGGTTCTCGCGGCCACCTGTAGGTCTGGCGAGCGGAGTCGTGGAACGAGAGCATATCCCTGCTCGCCATCCTCAACCACCTGCCGCTGGCGGCGATCATATACGAGAGGTCATCCAATCCGAGACGCCTCGCGAGCGCGAAGTAAGCCCCCAACGGGGGCGTCGTGTGCTCTCGAAGGCTGGCGTCGAGCAGTTGGCGAAAGCGAAGGTCGAGCTCCTCGGCGCGGTTCGCGCTCATGAGGCGCTCGCGGAAGATATCCGCCGCCTGGAGCTGCGTGGGGTGATAAACCATCAGATCACAAGCCGCCGAGAGGATCACATCCGTGGGGAGGTTCCCTTGCTCGGCGACCTCGAGGCGCAACGTGCGCACCTTGCGTAGCTCTTCGGGTGACCTGGCAAGGCGCTCCATGCGCGCGAGGCCCTCCATCGCGCCGCGAAAATCACCGCGATTGCGACGCACGCGCACGAGCGCCTGGAGCGCTTGCGCGTTATCAGGATCGAGCTCGACGACGCGCGCGTAGGCGCGAGCTGCGGGCTCGAACTCTCCGAGCTTGAGCTCGAGGATATGCCCCATCTGGAGCAACATGCGCGCGTTGAGTCGCTCGTCGCGAGAGATGCGCGTGGCAGCATCATAGCAGGCGAGCGCCTGTTGATACTGGCTTTGCGCGTCGTAGAGTTCGGCGAGAATGCGCAGGCGGCGAAGCTGCCTGGGCTCGATCGAGATCGACGCGGCGAGGTAGCGGATCGCGGCCTCGGGCATCTGGCCGTGGCTGAGCGCGAGGTCTGCCATTTCGTTGAGCTGGGCGAGGCGAACGTTCCTGTCCTTGATCTGCGTCAGGCGTTGCTCGCACATCTCGAGCGCCTCTGGGATGCGATGCGCCTGGATGAGCAAGGTCTTCAGGTTCTCGAACGCCTCGCTGTGATGAGGTTCGTTGGCGACCACGATCTCGAGCTGGTCGATGGCCGCGTCGAGGTCACCGATGTGACGACGTTGCACCTCGCTCGCTTCGACGCGAGCGCGGAGCGCGATCGAGGACACGCGCGTCAAGTCCGCCTCGCGAGCGCACCACCTGGCCACCGCTGGCCAGTTCGGGATCTCACTGGCGAGCAGACGGGCGAGCTTGACGGCGGGCAAAAAGTCGTGCGAGCGCTCGAGCGCTCGTGAGCACAAATCGAGCGAATCCTCGATGGTCCCGAGCCATCGGATCATCATCGCCGCGCGCGTCATCTCGGTGCCCACCTCGAGCGATCCTCTGGCGCGCCTTGCCTGGAGGTAAGCGAGCTGTGCGAGTGACTCCATGTCGCGCTCGCGCCATGCGCGCGCGATCGTGCTCACGAGCATTCCTTCCGAGGTCGGCCTCGTGCCGATGTCGCGCGCGAGATCATCGCGAGCCAGCATCGGTTGACGCGATGATGTGTGCGCCCGCTCGATGGCGATAAAGATCTCCTTGAGCTGTGGCTCCATCACGGCGCCAACGGTCACGAGCAACGCCTCCTCGTGAACCTCGCCGCGTTCGATGCCATCGACAAACTGAACCAATCGCCAGACGAGGTGTTCGCCAAACCGTTGGCGCATCAGATATTCAGCGCGAGGGCTCGTCTCTCCGAGCAGGAAGAGCAGGTCTCCGAGCTCCTCGGCCTCGCGCGCCGTGGCCACGTCGAGGCGCTCCGAGAGCGCCTCGACGGCGTGCTCTCGCTCTCCATCCGCGTCCGTGCGCAGGGTGCCATAGAGCGACACGTGCGAGTGAGGATCGAGGAAGTGTGCGTCGAGGTAATGCCTTAGCGCCTCTTGCGGCGCGCCGAGCTCCTGTTCGTAGAGCGCCGCGAGCTCCAGGTGGAAGGATGCCTTGAGATCGCGATCGAGGCAGAGCGGGATGAGGCTCGAGATCGAATCCGCCACGAGATCATAGCGCCCGAGCTGTTGCGCGATACGAACCATCGCATGCAGGGCTGCGGCGCTCGACGACCTCAGTGATGCAACACGCGCGTAGTGATCGAGCGCGCGTTGGAGCGCGTTTGGCAGGTGAGAGAGCCGACGCTCGTAGATAAACCCGAGCCGGAACGAGATCCCGATCTGCTCGATCTCGGATTCGGTGCGCGCGAGCGAACGCTCCCAGATCGCTGCCACGCCTTTCCAATCCCCATCGAGCAGCAGCAAGCGAGAGCAGGCGATCTCGGCGGGAGTAAACGCCGGGTGTAAATCGAGGATCTCTTCATACAGGTCACGAGCGATCTGCTCGTCGTTGCTGACCTCGGCGAGGCGCGCGACCTCGTATAGGATCTCGGCGCGCGTTTCACCGCTCGCGCGCCGAGCGCGCGCTCGCCAGAGCTCCATGAAGCGACGCTGGAGCGCGACACCTTCGGGTGTCACCTGCGCGCCCTCCTCGTGAGGATCGAGCAAGAGATAACCGAACCAGAACCACGCTCTCGAGATGAGGTCGACGCCGAGCTCACTCGGAAACAACTCCCGCGCTCGGTCCACGCGCCCCAGGCGCAAGAGTTGCTGCGCGATCCCCAGGCGCAAGACGGACATCATCCCCGTCGAAGGCTCCTCACCGAGCGTCTCGCACAACGTGTCGAGCGCCTTGGAAGGCAACCCGAGGCGTCCGAGGTCATCGTCGATCAGCCGCATCGGCCCCCAGGGAGAGCCAAAGATCGCGGGCTCGATCTCGGAGATGAAATCGAGGAACCGCAAGCGAATGATATCCTGGGAGTCATTGACCAAGGATTGACGCAACCCCGCGTAGCGAAGCTCGAGGTTGCTGCGCTGTCGCCAATCCTTGCGCTCGTTGGCCGCGCGCACCTCCGCCAGGATCATGGCGGCGGGGAGCTGGCTGTTGGCGAGGTTCGTGATGGTCTCGTGATCGTTTGTGAGCTCGGCGATCTCGAGCTGTGCGGCGCGCGCGGCCCCCTCGCTCTGGCGCTCGAGCACCTCGAGCGGACCGAGCGCGTCTGGCCGCCTGAGCGCGCGCACGAGCAACCCGCCAAAGTCGGCGAGCCAGGGCGCCGCCTCGGCAGCATCCACGCTCGCCTCTCTGAGCTGACGCACGGCATCTTCCGGGCAATTCTGCGTCGTCGCCAGGTGGAACAACGCGCGCACACCAGCCCACTGAGCCAACCCCAACACATCGCGCTGCTGCGCCAGCGCGCCGAGGTAGCGCTCCGCCGAGGCGTGCTGCGCGATCTCGCGATGAGACAGCACGCCGAAGAAGGTCATCAGATGGAGCACATCATCAGCGAGCCCGACGGCATCGGCGATATCAGCGGCGGCGTTCCGATCTCTTCGGCCAAGCAACCAGGGAATCAATGCCCCGCTCACGCGCAGGTACACGCGGGTGGTGCCCGTGGCGTGATCTGCGCGCGAGCGATACCAGGCGGCGACCTCCTCGGGAGGTCGCTTGTTCAAGGGGAGCTCCTGCTCGAAGAGCGCGACGGTGGCGTCATTGAACAGATCGCGGATGGTCTCGGCGATGGTGTCCGAATCGACCTCTCTCCCCAACCTGCGCGCGGCCCTGTACCAGGCCGAGAGCATGAGCAGGACGCCGAGCTCTCCCCCACCCTCGCCGCCCATGTCCGACCAATCGCGCACATGCCGCAAGGTCCCCTCGTGGTCTTTAAGCAACCACTCCGAGATGATGACGGTGAGCACACGCGCGAACGAGGCGATCGGAGCATGACTGGGAGCGAACGCGCGCGTGATCGAGATGGTCATCCCGCGCGCGAACTCCCAGGAGTTCGTGCGGATCGCGGCCTCGAGCAGCGAGATGGCGTGTAAGGGATCAGCGCCCAGGATCTCGAGGATCTCCGGCTCGACATCCTCGGGGATGGCGGGGTTATCCTGGCACACGTTGAGCTGATGCCGGATCGGTGTGGCGTGGATTCCCTGGTTGAGCTCTCGCGCGGCGAGCAGCTCGTGGACCAGGCCCCAGTCGCGAGCGCGAAGCGCGCAGGTTAGCGAACGCTGGCTCAGGTAAACCCGCGTTGCCTCGTCCTCGGCGGGGCAATCCCTGAGCATCTTGCTCGCGCGGGTGGATTCGCCAGCGCGCGCGAACAGCTCGGCGGCGAGCATCGGCGCGATGCCTTCGCGCGCGTCCTCGTGTGTTCGCAATGCATCGAGCAACGAGTCGAGTTGCTCGGGTTGATCGAGGATCTGCTGCGCGAGCCATGCCTCGTCGCCCAACCTGAGCATCCCATGAAAGGCAAAGCGGCGAAGCGTTGGAGAGGCGGCGACTTCGAAGAGGCGCCGAAGCGCGGGCTTGCAGCGTCGCGGTTGTCGAAGCTTGATCCCCAGGAGATAGATCATCCAGAGCTGACCGCGCGCCTCGAGCTCGGGCAGTCCGCGCGAGCGCCCAGAGGCGACCACGAGCTCGAGCAACTCCTCGACCTCCTCCCACTGCTTTCTGTGCACGCGCGCGGCGACGAGCTTCCAGAGGATCGGTTCGTCGAGCACGCGAGGAGGATCGATATGTGCGCCGTGCTCGTCCATCGTGGTTTCGATCACGCCATGACGCTCGGCGTACTGCTCCAGGCTCTCCAGGCTGGGCCTGTGAACCTCTTCCAGGTAGGACTCGACGGCGAGCCTGGAGGCGGCGAGTTCGATGCCATTCTCTTCGAGGCGCGCGGCGAACTCGGGCTGCTCGCGAAGCGTCCCATCGAACAGGTTCACGAGCCCCCTCCACTGCCCCAATCTGGCGAGCGAGCGCTCGATGCTCATAAACAGGTGCACGCTCTCGGGGTGTTCGTGGCGAGCGGAGCGATAGAGCGCGAGCACCTCGCGAGGATCGCCGCCGATGCGTTCGAGCAGGTCCGCGCGGCGCCACGCGGGGTTGATCGCCTGTGATTCTCCGACAGATGGCGCGGAGCGCAACCGCATCACACCATCCCAATCCTCATTGCGAACGCGCGCCTGCCCCAGCGTGAGCAAGACCGGAAGACAATCACCCGAGTCCTGGAGCGCGCGCTCGAGTTGCTGGCGAGCCTCCTGCTCGCCATCCTCTCCCTCGAAGAGGATCAGGGTGTGCGCGAATTGCTCGCGCACGAGGGCGCGGATGGTCGCGTCATCGATAAGCCGGATCTGAGCCTGGAATGACTCGATCAGCGCATCCATGTCGCCGACGCGGCGCGCGAGCCGCTCGACGGCGAGCCAATGGATGAGTTCATCCGGCCTGGCTCTGGAGGCGGCCATGGCCGCCTCCAGAGCCAGGCCGAGGCTACCCTCTTCGCCCCCCTTCTCCATCGCGCCGCGGAGCATCGCCAGACGATGCAACGTGGCGGCCATGGCCGCCTCTTCATCATCCTGTTTCTGATCGAGCGACCACTCGAGCGCCTGCGCTTCGAGCAAGTGATCCCCATTCCAGCACGCGCCATACTGCATGCTGGTCAATAGAATGCGAGACATCGAGGCAGGAGAGCTATCGGCCGCGGCGCGCTCGAAGAAGCTGCTGTATTCCTTGGTCAGGTAGCCAGACAGGGTGAGCAGATGTTCGCGCTCGTCCCCCTGTACATAGCGCGCGAGCTGGCGCCAGAACCCTGCCGCGGCGACGCGATCACCGCGCCGGTGCGCGAACAGCGCCTGGATGACGAGCGCGCCGATGGTCTGATCCTGGTCGATCCTCTCGAGCAATTGCGCGGGAGGTTTGCCGCGAAGGAGCTCCTCGATGATACGCGCGACGACGATCGAGGCGTGACGCTCCTCGACATCCTCGACGCCTGATTGCTCGTCGTGTGCGCGAAGCTGATCGAGGCGCTCGACGAACTGCGCGATAGAGCCGTTCCAGGCTTCGGCGAGCTGCAAGATCCGAGGGCCGCGCAGATGTTCGAGCGCATCCTTTGCCGCGCTCTCGAGCTGTGAAGCGCTCGCAGCGCCAGCCTCGCCATGCAACCGAAGCATCGTCGAGAAGAGGTAGATGTAGGCGCCGCGTTTGCGAATGTCTGGCTCCTGGAGCACCTCCAGGCGAAGCTCGGTCGCCCACTTGGACCAGGGCTCGCGCAATGAAAAGCGCGCGCCCATCGCGTCGAGCCCGACGCGAAGCTGGCGCTCGACGCGCGGCTCCTCGGCCTGCGCTTCGGGGTCGGTGTCCTCGATGACAAAGCGACGCGCGACAACCATCGCCTCCTCGTCATCGAGATCCTCGTCGATCTCGTAAATCCCGGAGTCGATGAAGATGATCTCCTCATCGACGACCTCCTCGTCCGGGTACAATGGCTCGTGCGCGCCGCCTTGCGGGATCTCTTCGATGACCTCGAAGCCAGACATGGACAATGGATCGAGCACGACCTCGCTATCATCGGCGCCCATCGTATCCGAGAGGTCGTCGCGAGCCGCATCTTCCTCCTCGCCCATGACGTACATGCCGGAGGCGAGGAAGGGATCGACCTGCGGAGCAGCGTGCGCCTCCTCGTATTCGTCGTCCTCGACCTCCTGGATGTAACCCGAGAGGTCATCGAACTCGAGGATGTCATCGACATCGAGCTCCTCCTCTTCGAGCGGTTCCATGCCCTGGAGATCAAAGCTCGCGAGCGCCTCCTCGATATCCTGATCGAGGCTCAGATCGATCTCCTGGAGGGACGCCTTCTCCTCGTCGGTGTCCTCGAAGATGGGCGTCTCGGGCTCGGTGGATGGCGTGAGTATGGCGAGCTGCGTATCCTCGGGGATCGGCTCCATATCGAGCGAGGGATACGTCTCGCGAAGTTGCGCCTCATCAAAGTCAAAGGAGTAGGCGGCGTCAGAGTCAGGAGCGGGAAGAAAGGGGAGCTCGGCGTCCTGCTCATTGCCCCCGAGCGGCGTCTCTTGCCACATCGGGTTGACCGAACCGATCGAGACGCTGTCCATCTCGCCAGTGGCGGCGATCTGATCCTCGTGCCCGAGCGAGTGAAAGATCTCCTGACTTTGACGGAGCGGATCCCGCGCGTTCATGTCGGGATCGGTGTTCTCATCGAGGCCCCCCTCGCTGATTGGTTCAAGGCCGTCCTCTGGCTCCTCTGACATCACTCGCCTTCGCGCCACATGGGGTATGCTACCGGTATATGTCCACCACCTTCGCCCTGGCACCAGAGGCTGTCAACCAAGATGGCGACAGCGACATGTGGCGGCTCACGAGTCCGATGGGAAGAAGCTGACGTCGATCACGCTCTGGCTGTTGCGCCGGTCTCGCAACGCGGCCGCGGCCGCGTTGGCGATGCGCTCGTCCGGGCTCGACGAGAGATCCTTGAGGATGGTCCTCGAGCGCTCTCCGCCAGCGAGCTCGAGCAGCGGGATACCATCCTCGACGACATCGAATGACGCGTCGTGGATCAAGCGCTCGACCGCCGTGGCGATCGAGGTCTCGCCAGGAGCCCCCGCGTGCTTGAGCAAATCGATGACACGCGAGCGCACGCGGTCATCCTCGTTGTCGAGCAGATCCACGAGGTAACGCGTCTGGCTGTTGGTCCAACGATCCTCGTCAGCGCGCGCGGGCTCTTCCGCTGTGGCATCGCGCAGGAGCCTCAGCGCGCTCACGATCACGGGCCAGAAGGGACCCGCCTTCTCCAGCGAACGCAGCGCATCGTTTTGAAGATCCGTTCTCCCGACGACGACCTCGGGGAGGAGGTTGTTGATCGCTCGCAGCAGATGCGCCTCGAGCAAGGCGGGCTCTTCCTCGCGGGTGCGAAGGCGAAGGTAGTGCGCCTGCTCGAGCGCGTCGCGAAGTTGCGGGACAAACCGCTTCATCTTTGGCGTGAGCCCTCGACCGAGCGCCTCGGCCGCGGACAGCGCCGCGTGAATGTCGCGCCCCTTGAGCGCGCCGATGGCGCGCTTGACGAGGTCCTCATCACCGCTCACGCCAGCAGCAGCCGACGCAGCCATGCGCACGAAAGAGTCGCTGTCCTGGAACCCGGCCTGGATGATCGCGATCTCTTCCGGGGAGGCATCGCTCTGGAGGAACCTCGCCAGGATACGCAGGCAAATCGCGCGATGCGCAGCGTTGTCCGTGGCTCGAAAGTGCCTGCGCGCGACCTCACGGCCGCGCGAATCCTCCATATTGAGGATCAGTTGCAGGCCCGTGAGCTCCCCCTTGTTGCCCTCGCGCACGAGCCTCGCGGCGAGCTCGAAGGCGTCATCTCGTTCAGCGAGCGCGTTGAGATAGAACGTCTTCTCGCCGTCCTTGGCGTTGCGCAGCTTCTGGAGGATCTCGGTGTCCGAGAGCTCCCGCTTGAGACCCTGCTCGCGTCCGCCCGAGTCCTCGAGCGCGTCGAGCGCGCTCGTGGCGCGCTCGCGCACGAAGTCGTGCTCGTCCGAGAGCGCATCACGCAAGATCGGCTCGGCGCGCGCGTCACCAAATTTCCCCATCGCCTCGAGCGCCCAACCTCGCACGAAGGGGTCTTGGTCATGACGAACATCCATCAGGAAGTCGAAGAGCTTGGGGGCATGAGAGGGTTGCGCCAGATGCATGATCGCGCGCATAGCGAGCCCGCGCGCGTCCGACTTCTCGATGCTCTCCTTGTTGTCGAAGACAAAGCGCATCAAGGGAACCATCGCGCTCGTGTCCCCGATCTCACCGAGGATGCGCACGATCGCCTCGCACGCCGCGGGCTCGGCGAAGTTGAGGTTCGCCGCCAGAGGATCGATCGCGTCGGAGCCCATGATCACGATCTGGTCCATCACGCCGCGCTGGAGCTCGGCGTCCGGGTGATCGAGTTGTGGGATGAGTCGTGCGATCTCTTCGCGAACGTCGGTCATGGAGTGCTCCTGCTTCTTTCCTCGCGCGTCTGCGCGACGCGACGATACTGCTGCTGTTCTCTTCAGACCTCCTCTTATCCCCCGTTCGCCACAGAAGTTCAAGATGACGATAGAGAGAGCCACTCCTACATGTCGCACTCCTGTTGCTTCGATCGCGAAAATCTGGTAGTTGACCAACGGTTTATAAGAGGTTTCGAAAGAGGAAATGAACTCACTTCGCCATCAAACTCAGGGGCCCGAGCGCTCGTCACGCCAACGCGTGAATGATTGCCTTCTTGCATCATTCATCCTGCTTCTGGCGTCGAGTGGTCTCACCGCATGTGGTGATCAGGATCTCTCTGATGTTGGCGAAGAGTCCCCTCCCCCGGTCGTGATTCTTTTCCCCGAGGCCGATCCTGAGCCAGATAAGCCAGGAACCTCGCAGGACGAAACGCCCGACTCCCCGAATACAAACTCAGAAGACAATCCTGGTTGGGATGTCCCGATCGCGCCGGATCTTCCGTGGCAACGCGGCGCGAGGATGGAGCGCGAGCCAAATGATCTCGTGGACCGCGGCGTAGGGCTCGATCAATCGACCTATTTCACGGTCGGAGAATCACTGGCGGGCGCGCTCGACGCGCCCGATCGCCCCGAATCGGACATGGACATCTTTAGCGTCGAGCTCGACGCCGGGACGCTCTTCCGTTGGGAGGTCTCTCGCACAGGAGAAGACCTGAGCGAGCAAGGCATTCAGACCGTCCTGTTGGGCCCTGACATGCGCTATCGTCGTGACCTCACGGCGCGCGTTGGCGATGGCCGCGCAGCGTTTATCCACCAGAGCGGCACCTACTACCTGGCCGTACACGACGCGCGCGAGGTCGAGGAATCTGGGCAGGGCGATGACTCGGGCTACAGGATCGAGACCTCGAGCGAGAGCATTCACGGCTACTCGCTCGAAGCTCCAGGCACCTGGACAGAATCACTCGACGACTTTCGCCCGGACGTCCACCGCTTCGTCTGGAACCGGGACGAAGTGGTCATGGCCGAGGTGGTTTGCCATCGCGAGCCCGTGCATACGGGGATCGATCCGATCCTCTACCTCTGGGACACGGTCGAGCAGCGCGTCGTCGCGCACAATGACAATGGTCGCCGTGACTCGCTCGATCCCCAGCTCGTAGCAGACCTCGAGCGTGGGCGCCCATACCTCTTGATCATCGACGCCACGGCGTTGCGCGAAGAGGTCCCCTACGCGCTCTCCATCAGCGAAGTCGATGACTCCCCGGATGTGCCCACGCGCATCGGTCCAGGCTCGAGCTGGCGCGCTGAAATCGGCGCTCCGGTCGCCAGCATGGAGCACTTCGACACAGACTATTTCCTGCTGGAGCTCGCCCCCGGCGAGGCTGTCCGCGTCGCCGTTCAAGGCGATGATGCGTTGGAACCTGCCCTGACGGTTTACCGCGAAGAGGATGGGTTCTTCGATCAAATCGACTTCGCCGCGCCACGCGACGGAGAAGCTGCGGTGTCCTTCGGCCTGCCCGAAGACGCGCACGGGACGACCGTCTTCTATGTGCTCCTCGATGACCTGAGGAACCTCGAGTTGGCCTCTCATGAATGGGGGCGACGCTTCCTGGGTGGCCCTGACTTCGACTACACCCTTCGAGCAGAGAGCGTGACGTGGAGCGCGACCCGAGCCACGCTGCCGCTCCAAAACGAGATCGCGCTCACCGAGAGCGGCGTCTATCACTGGTTCGATATCTGGCTCGAGGAGGGCGAGATGCTCTCGTTGACGGCGAGCAGCCAGGCTGACCACACCTCGCCACAGCTCGCGAGGATGACACCCGCGGGCGCGATTCACCTGGCAGGCGCGAGCGATGCTTTCTTTAGCCCCGCCGCAGGCACCTACCGCTTCGGGGTACGCGAAGAGTTCATGCGCAAGGGCGGCGTCCCGCTCGATGTGACGTTCTTCTCGAGCTTCCCCGACACCACGAACGCGCCGGTTATCGACGAGCACCACAACAACCACAGCGGCCAGACCGCGCAACGGCTCCACCCTCCGGTGCGCGTCTCTTCCTACGCAGAGGCAGTGCACGCGGTGGGTTATGACGTCTTCGCGGTCCACGCGAAACGCGGTGACAAACTCGCCGTGTGGACCGATCGAGATCCGAGCACGAGCGAGTTCGCCCCCGCCGACACTGTCCTCCACCTGTTCGATCACGCTGGCGACTATATCACCAGCAACGATGACCGGATGGCCACCGAATACACAGCGTTCTCGGCGATCCTTCGCGAGATCGATGAAGACGGCGATTACTTCATCGTCGTCGAGCCATACTCATCGAGGATGTTCTCTCTCGATGGCCCTTACATGCTGCACGTCGCGCTGGACTGATCTTCCCCCTCCAATACATTGCGCCATTGCTCCCACGGCGCGCATTCGCTAAAAGCAGCACGAGCCCCCAAAGCTCACTCGCCAACCAGAGCACCCAAGCACGAGGTTTCGTTATGACTGATGTCCGCAACATCTGCGTGTACTGTGGCTCTCGCCCCGGTGCTTCACCTGAATTCGTGACGCGCGCCAAGGAGCTCGGGAGAGCCATGGCCGAGGCAAACATCGGACTCGTCTACGGCGCCGGCTCCACAGGTATCATGGGAGCAGTCGCAGACGCCGTGCTCGAGGCAGGCGGCGAGGTCACGGGCGTGATCCCACATGGCCTCCACCGCGCCGAGATCACGCACAGCAAGCTCACGACCTTGCACATGGTCGAGACCATGCACGAGCGCAAGTCGATGATGATCGACCTCAGCGATGCGTTTGTCGCAGCCCCTGGCGGGTTCGGCACGCTCGAAGAGTTGTTCGAGGTGCTGACCTGGGGGCAGCTCGGCATCCACAGCAAGCCCGTGGGCCTCTTTAACGTGAATGGCTACTGGGACCCGCTCCTCTCGATGCTGGAGCACTGCCTGGAGCAACGCTTTATCGATCCGTTCCAGCGCGAGCTCGTGTTGGAATCAGACACCCCCGACGGGTTGTTCGATGCTCTACGCGCCTATGAACCGCACGGACACATGATCTGGCAACATTAAGAAATCCATATCGGAGGCCCCATGCGCAGACGTTTGCTCCTGTTCGCAGCCGTCACCTCGATGCTCTTGTCGATTTCGTTCGGGTGTAAGAAATCCACCAGGAATGCTGCGGATGATGTGGTGGTCGAGACGACCTCGACCACCACATCAGCGCCGACAGAGACCAGCGCGAAAGCACCGGCCAAAGCAACCACCGGGGGGACGATCGACAGGCGCACCATCGCGCTCGCGATGGGATGCGCCGAGGACAAGCTGACCGAGGACGGCTGCGAAGAATGCGCGGGAAGCTGGTCTGTCGAAGGTGAGGACTCGGGGCTGGTGCAAAACCTCACCCTTCGACCGGGGAAGTATTCAAACAGCGGCAAGGAGCAGGTCTACATCACCTACTTCGGTTGTGGCAGCAGAGCCGGAGGCGATTCTCACAACGTCTTGCTCGAACGAGATGGAGATGCGTGGAAGATCGCGCGCCGCACGACCTACAAGGACAATCAAACCTGTTATTACCCGAAGCAAGCCGATGGCATCGAGCACGTCCTCTGCGTCAACGTGAGCGGCAGTCAGGGGGTCGAGTACCAGGATCTCATATCTCCCGCGTTCTCGAACTTCGAGGGAATCGACGCCACAGGGGACAAACCTCTCGAGCTGGGCTTTGACCAGATCGGCGGCATGATCTTCGCGTCCACGACCAACGAAGAGATGGAAGAGGACGAGGATGGCATGTTGCCAAGAGCGCCAGCGATCAAGGTCGCCGCGATCGAAGATATCGACGGCGACGGCGATCAGGACGCGCGCGTTTTGATCGATGGCGACAAATACAACATCGTCATCGATCACGAGGCGCGCACGATGACATTGGTCAAACCCTCGAAATGATGACGAGGCGCGCTGGCTGCTCATGTCAAAAACAAACAGAGGTCGTGAGCGAAGAGCTCACGACCTCTGTTTGTTTCATCGAGAGTTCCGCTTTAAATCTCTGGTGAGCTCGGCCCGAAGAAGACCTCGCCGTATTCGCTGATGATGTGGAGCCCCTGATCGACCACGGTCAGGAAGATCGCGGGCTCATCGTCTTCGGCGACGGTGAGGTTGTGTTCTGTGTCCGGTGACATCGCGATGAGTTGTCCTCGCTCGTAGCGATTCTCACCATCGAGGATGGTCCCCTGGAGGACGAACATCAGCTCTTCGCCAGCGTGGCGGTGTTCGGGGAACTCTCCGCCTGGATCGATGCGAATAAATCCGACCACGGCCTGTTGCCTGTCCGGGCCGCCCTCGACGTGTACGATCCACGACGAAGCCGTCAAACCGGGGAACCACGCGTCAGGGTCCGAGAGCGACTCCAGGTAAGCGCGGGCGGCATCGAGGGGTTCCTGGATCAGATCAGAGATGATCTGAGCAAACCCCATAAAGCCCGCCTCTGGTTCGATGGAGGCAAAGAGCCTGTCGTGTAGTCCGGCAGAAGGTTCTACCGGTTCACACTCGGCGAGCCAGAGATCGGCGACGAGGGCCTCGGCCTCCATGAGGAGTTCGAGCGTGCGCGCGTCACCCGAGGCAATGGCGGCCTCGAGCGCGTCGTGCTCTTTCTCGTCGAGCCGACCGAGCAGGAACTCGGTCATCATGTCCAAATCGAGCTGTTTCATTGTGGCGTGCCTCCCTCATCACGAGTGAGGCGCTCCTTGAGCGCGCGGCGTGCAGCAGCGAGACGCGACTTGACGGTGCCCGTCGGGATGCCGAGTTCTTCCCCGACCTCCACAGCGGTCATGTGTTCAAAATACGTCAACTCGATCACTTCTTGCTGGTGCTCAGAGAGCGTCTTGATCGTTTCCCGAAGTTGTCGGCGCTCGAGCGTCAGGGCAGGATCTTCGCTGATATGCGTGGGGGCCAGCGTATCCTGTGACTCGAGCAAGAGCGTTGCGCGGCGTTTTCCTTTGCGCAGCCGGTCGATG